GGGATGGGAGAGGCCCAGGACTGGTGGGCTCTGGGCCATTTGTTCAGGCTGGTGCCGAGGCTGCCACCATGATGGCGGGGACACGGGTTCAGTAGGAGGTACGAGGACCTGTGGGCAGAGCCGGCTCCCTGGCGACCCAGTGGTCAGTCCCAGAGGACGAGGGGCCAGGGGAGGCCAGGAACCAGCGTCCAGAGTCACCCTGAAGCTTTCCCAGCCTCCCAAGCCCCCCAGCAGCAGGAGGTGAACAATCACCTCTCAAGACCCACCGGGGGACAGCCCCAGGGCCAAGGATGGAGTTGGGAAGTGTGACCAAACTGACTGGCTGACCAGCTGACCCCGGCTCCCTCCCACCCAACCTGAGCAACCGCCAGCCTGTCAGCCCCAACAGGACCAGGGCTGGCCGTCCACCTCGCAGGGCTCCAGGCAGAGGACAGACGGACAGAAGGAGGGCTGGCCTCCCCGCGCCCCCCTCCCCCTCCCCCACGTGCCTCCCTGACCTCCCCTCTGCGCCGAGAACAGCAGGCACCTCCCTCACTCCCCGAGTCTGAGGCTGTGGAAACCAAGTGGGATGGGGCTTGTGAGGAAAGCCACCCATTCCAACAAGTTCAATGAAAACAGAAGAATGTGTTTTCGATGCCTGCTCCCACCACTCAGACAAGCTGTAAAACACAAACTGTCGTTTCCATCATTTCACACATGAGCTAAAAGAACTGATATCGGCCCCGAAAATGCATGGAGCAATATAAAGATGAATGGTCAAACGCGCGATGGTAATTTAAAACTGGGGTGTTCAACGGCTAGCAGCTTCTCCCTGGGCCACGGGCAGCCCCTGGGAAATGAGGGCTGCATCTGAGCCCTGGGAGGGGGGCTGCAGGGCTGGAGGAGCCTCCGGGGGCAGGATGGGGGCCGGACAGAGGGCCACACGACCCCTGGGACACGCTCTATTGGGTCCTGGTTGTGAACGTTAGTGCCAACCAGCCAATACTACAGGTGCATGTGTTGCTATGACTTCAAACGGGGCACTAACCATCCGACCCCACCCTCCGGGGTTCAGGTCCAGGGCTGGTCTGTCTGGAGTGGATACCCAATCAGCCCTTCCCCGTGTGGCTGCTGATGAACAGATGGTGGGCTCAGCTTTGTGGTCAAGTGCATGCAGTCCTGGACAAAAGCACAGCCCACTTTTGGAGGCCAATGGAAAATGGCCTTTCTGGGGTGGGGGCTTGAGAACCTTGGCCTCACACACAGATGTTTGGAGAGAATGTTCTGGAACACTGAAGTGGAGAGGCAGACATTTGTAAACAAATATGCACGCAGGCACGTCTATAGCCTGCTTTTGTGTTCTGTGTGGTCTTTTCTCCACTCCAGCATGGTTGGACTGGGAGGGCTTTTCCCCAGTGACAAGGCTGTGTCTTCATTCCATCAGCAGCTGTTCGCGGCGTGCTGGCTCAGTGCGGCACTATACCCAGACAGCAGTGGGACTGGAGTCCCCGCCTCATGGTGTTGCAGGAAAATGAAGCGACCAGACACCGAGGGTTTCTGGAGTACGAGGTTTTATTAACGTGCACGGGCCCAGAGGAGTTGATTTCCAAATTCTGAGCCCCGAACAAAGGATTCTTGGGGTTTTTATAGTTTACAGGGTCTTCTTGTCTACGTAGCAAAGCGGGATACAGAAGCAGAATGCGGAAGTTAGTTCTAGCTATGGGGCAGGAGCAGAGGACAAAGGCTAAATTCGAAGGTCAGTTTTTAACAGCAGGGGTGTTAATCTCAGTCCTAGCTAATGCACTGTTGTTTATTTATCCTAGACAGCCCCATCATTCTCCCTAGGGTGCCTGGGGCCTGGGCAAATAAAGGTTAAACAGAGGTTTTTCAAAGTTTCCCCTATCAATGGTACGTGCATGTGTCGGTGCATGGAGGAAAACCCCAGGCTGTGGGGTGCAGCCAGGACCCGGACCCTGAGCGGGCACAGCAGAAAAGGGCCCTGACGGCCCCCTATGAGCAGGGCAGAAGCCACCAAGTGAAGCAAAGGAAGGCACTCCAGGCAGATGATGGCACAGGTGGAGTCAGAGTCGAGTGCTGTCCTGCCAAGTTCAGAGCCTTACGTGGTTCTGTGGGGCTGAAGCTCAGGGCCTAGATGTAAAGCCAGACAGGCCAGAGGACAGGAGGGCAGGAGGGCAGGTTCTCACCTACGTGGGGAGGCCGTCAGGGTTCCTAGGAATAACTCAAGCCCCCCTCTTTCTCTCTCAGCGCAGCTGGGCCGGCTGGAGCCTGAGGTCTGTCAGGGCTGAGCCCCCACGGGCCCCGGCCCAGCCACTTGGATGGCGAGAGGTTTGATGAGTGAGTGGCTGCGGAGATCTTGCAGGAAGGGTCCAGCCAAATTTTCTGGTGGCAAAAATGAAGTACAAAATGCATGCTAATCCAGAAATAAATTAGTGTGAGTTGTAATTGCGTCCGTAAGGAGTTCCTTTTGGACGCAGTGGCTCCCCACCCATGTCCCAGACAGGGAACAGGGCTCCCCCCTCAGCATGGGCGCAACTGATTCCCTCACTTCTCCCTAACAATGAACAGTCCAGCTCTGTAGACGTCTGATGGAAGAGTGGGTGAGTGGCTGGATGAGTGGGTGCGGGAGTAGATAAATCGGTGGGTGGGTCAGTGGGTGGAAATATGGATGGATGGACGATATAGGAAAGGATGGATCGATCAATCAATAGTTAGATGAATTGGGTAGCTACAAATATAAATGAATGAAAGAGTGAGTAATTGTTTTGTAAGAAAATAAAGATTCTTTTTATGTCAGGACACAACACAATGGCACTTGGATGGAAGGAAGGCAGAGTTTTTGTTACTTTAGTTCCAAACCAGAGAAGGCTCTGGGCAGAGCTGCATGGGGGCTGTACCCAGGAGCAGGGTAGCAGCCCATTGGAGCTGCAGGGAGCAGCTTCCGTCCTTCGATCAGGCAGGGTCAGCCAGGCTTCTCAGGCCCCCTGTGGACCAGCTAATTTAAATAATTTTTCGAGGTCCAAAGGATAGGGGCTGTCCACAGTGGTTTGGTACCTGGCCCCATGTCGATGAGGGCCAGGGCGGTATGGTCCAAAGTCTGAGAGCCCAGCAAGGGAAATGACTGGAGTGTGAACTGACCAATCGCCAGCCAGGATGTCAAAACTGGGTCAAGATTTTTTTAATGATATTACAGTGGTGGATACAGAAGTGTGCAGATGGGCAGACGCCTTCTGGAGCTCCCTTGGTCAATAATCTTCCCAGAAGCATCAGCCCTGGGTTCAGACTTTCGAATGTGTGAGAAGGACTGCACAAGGTCTCTATCTGCTGAGCTGATGGGGCTCGCGAAAGACCCCTCCAGTAATACGATGAAGGCTCTGGGTCTTCCTTTACGGGCAAAGCACATACACACAGTTCTGAGTACTATGTTAGGGGACCACGGACTCTGGGCAGCCCATCTGCGGAGAAGTTACAGGGGAAGGGGAGACGGCAGGCGGGGTTCTGACCCTTCTGTCCACTCGGCAGCTCCTCCAAGCCCCCTTTATTCACTCTCTTTTGAAGAAAAGGCTCTAAGAGTTTAAAAAAACAAAACCCTGTTTGAAAGCCCCTGCCTCTGCGGCTCCACTGCTTCCGGGAGTGGTAAGTGCTGTGGACAGTCAGCGAGTCTCCAGAGAGAAGCCAAGAAAGCCAATCAGTGTAGAAGTGAGAGGAAGCCACAGACAGCCCAGCCTCCCCGAAGGCATGGCTGCCTCTTAGGGGCAGAGACCCTTCCGTGTTGCCCGAAAACAGGACAGGGAAAGGGGCTCAATCTCTGAAAATGTTTCAGGGTTTCTGCTGCCATTGCCCCTTCAGAGGCATGCAGGGCACAAAAAGTGATCGGAAGGCCCCGCCCACCTGGCCACCCTCTGTGTAGACAAATGCCCACCGCACACACCTAAACCCAGGCACAAAACCGCCACAGAAGAAAAACAAATGACTATAAGCAATACACGTTGTAGTGGACAAATTTACTCACTTACAGGGTGCCAGTGGGAGGAACACTAAAATTTAGGGGCCCCCTGCCACGAAGCCCATACCTCCTCTGTTTGTTTCATTTCACTGAAAAGGGGGGCAGCAGAGAAGGCGAGAACACGGACCGGAGCCAGGTGGCCTGGGCCCCGAGAGGACTCACCGAGTGTGTGTGTTCGTGTGCCTAGGAAAGGGGCCCGGCTCAGAGCAAAGCCACGCACGTGTCAGGACTGTGTCGAATGAACACAGCCGAAGTCTGGAGGCTTCGGTGAAAAACACATAATAAAGATTTTGCTCAAGAGTCCTGGAGTTTGCCAACTGAAAATAGGCCATGCCCAGAGTGCTCCAAGAAGAAAGAAAAGCTGAGAGTCCTTAGAGTAAACATGTATGTTTTTGAGAAGAATCAGTCCTATGTTCTCAGCATCTGTCTGGGTTGGTCCCAGATGGTCGTTTTCTAGGTGTCCAGTGGTTCGGACACCGGATGGCAGGTGGGCTGGACACTGGGTGGCAGGTGGGCTTGATACTGGGTGTCAGGTGGTCCAGGTATTTGAACATTTTTTTCCTTTATGCTTAGGGGCCATCAGAGGGCTGCCTGGAGTTTTGACGGACATATCCAGGCATTGACGCGGGACTGGAAAGTTTGGACATTTAAGTTGGCAGCCTAGTTAGAACAAGAGCTGAATCGATTCCTTGTGCCTCAGCCTGCCTGATTTGAGTAATTTAGCAGGTTGCCTGCAGCAACCGCATTTCATTTCTTCATTCTATTTCTCAACTGTTATTAATCCTCAACACACCCTCTCCCTCTGAGATTCGTACCAGTCAGCTCCTTTCACCGCTCAGAGAGGCTGAGTCCCTTGCCCAGGCTGAACTGCAGGACTGGCCGACAGGGAGCCCAGAACACACTTGCTCCTCCGGGACTGGGAAGGGCAGCCACAGTCCACACACGAGAATGCTCCTTGGGCCGATCTGGAAACCCTCCACGGAACTCCCCGAGCTCCCGAAGCTCAGATGGAGGACGGAGCCCGGGGCAGCCATGGCCATCTTAGCTGGCCCCTGTGGTCTTGCGTTTGGAAACTGCAGCCTGCCTGGCTCAGAGAGGGGGGCCGGTGCACAGGGGCCGGGCAGGAGGTGGAGGGAGGAAGTGCCCAGGAGGGTGATGACATCACAGCCCAGCCCTTGAAAGATGAGCTGTTCCTGCCACCGCTCCAGCTCACTCCCTCCTCAGAGGGGAGGGGACACCAGACAGCCCTGCTGAACTCTGCACCGGAGAGCGACCGAGGTGCCCCCACAGCGCCCTCCGGACAAGGTGGGTGCCCCGCGAGGGCCGGCCCCGCCGCCTCGCCTTTGCTGGCGGACGGGCAGCCCCAGCACAGAGGGGAGGCGGGCAGGTGGGGGCTGCAGGCGCTGATTGCTGGGCTGGGACACAAGTTGCCCTCAGGTCCTGGGGAGTTTGAGGAAAGTTCCCTCCCTTCCCTAGTCCTGACGAGGGACAAGAAGGGCTCCCAGCGAGAGGCACTGTCTTGTCTGCTTTGGGTTTGTCTTCTCAGGGCATCGGGGTGACGGACAGGCATGTGTGCACTTGCGTAAGCCTTGTAGGACAGACTTGACCTGATGTTCGTGCTCTGGGTGGGCACCTGGGGCGCACGGAGAGCTTCAGTCCAGGAGAGGTGCGGCCGAGGCGGGGGTGTGGTTTAGACTCCAGAACCTGGCTTTTCACTCACCACTCTGCCACTGCGTATGAGCCCTGTGTGACCTCACACACGTTACTTAACCTCTCTGAGCCTCAGTTCCTCTGTGTGCAAAGACCCTGCTGGTCTGCTCCCTGCGGTGGCAGGGGTTAAATCTGGCTAAGGCAGAAAGGGCTTTGTAAATGCTGGCCGATGCTCATGGACATGGTGATTTTAACTCAGATGGGGCTTCGTGTTCCTGGACCCCACCCACTGACCTGGTGCAAGACAGAGGGGTAAAGAGCGTGGGCTTGCATCCAGCCCTGGGCGGGCACCCCAGCTCTGTCACCACTCCCTGAGTGGCATTTTTCACAACGTTTTCCCCCGTGTCTGAATCCATAAAGTTGACCTGGCAGGGTGTTGCAAAGACAGAGATGGGGCTCATGCCTGTGAAGTGCCACATACGTATGCAGTAGGTGCTCAGTGAGTGGTAGCCGCTATTAAAACTGCTGAGGGCAGGTAATTTCGAGGGTCTGGGCGGGGGGACAGTGGGCACGTCCCCTGGGCAGGTTGGGATGTGCCTCCCTGAGTCACCGGCTGCCTGTCCCTCCTGGCAGCCCACACGAAGCAGGAGCTCTGGCCCACGTGTGCCGCAATGGGGGCCCTTGCGCTGACCCCACCTCTTGTTTCTTCTCTGAGTGATTCCAGGGGACACTGCTGTCATCCTTCTCTGGAGAGACTCCCTCTGTGCCCTGCTGGGCTCCTGCCACATGGGGGTGACAGGAACATTCTGTAATCGGGAGCCCCCCAAGCTTGAGGAAGGAGTTTGCTGTCTTCCTTCTCCTTGGGGCGGGAGTTGAATGGCCAGGAGAAGGTTCCCATGGCAACGTCACAGGCAGGATTCCAGGGTCTCAGCCCAGCTCTGCCCTGGAGTCACAAAACCCCCGCAGTCGCACGCTCCAAGCCCCTCGAGGAGGAGATGAGAACACCGAGTCTCAGGGCGAGGACACAGCCTAAGAGAGCCTTTGCTCCGGGTCCTGGGAAATGGCTCCACCTCCCTGGGACTCGGCTCTGCCATCTGCAAACAGGGAAGGTTCAGGAGATGAGCACGGTGGTGAGACTGCGTAGGCTGGGGATTAGACCAGACTCAGGAGGTGCTGGCCGGTGCGACCAAGCCGGCGAGACAGCTCTGCCGTGTGGTCTCCGCTAACACACCGACTCTGCCTGCCTGAACGTTCAGAGGGCATCTGAGGGCACCGCCAAGGGCTGCCCCCCTCACCTGTGCCACCTGACAGTCAGGGAGGGGTCCGCATGGGGCAGAGGAGCGTGCCCTGAGACCCGCTGGGGGCTCTGGTTTCCGAATGAAAGCAGAGACGTTGTCTGTCCAATGTAGAGGCCCCCCACCCCCACCCCACGCTGAGATCTGTGCCGACCACAGAGCAGGCTCTGGTCAGTACTTGCTGAATGACCGAATAGTTGGATGGATGGATAAATGAACATTGGTCACAGTGCAGGCCCAGAAAGCACACCAAGTCATCACTACATGAAGAAGCCAGACTGAAAAGGCTACGTACTGTACGATTCCAACTCTGTGATATTCTGGAAAAGGCAACACCATGCAAACAAGGAAAATATCAGGGGTTTCCAGAGCTGGGGAGAAGGAGGGATGAGTAGGTGAGCCCGGGGGATCTTTAGGGCAGTGGGACTGCTCTGCACGAAGCTACAATGGAGGACACATGTCACCCTACAGCTGTCCAAACCCACAGCATGTGCACCCCAAGAGTGAGCCCCAGTGTGCACTGTGGGTTTGTGGGTGCGGGCTTACTGATGGCAGGCAGTAAAGGTGCCACTCCGCGAGATGTTGGTAGTGGGGGAGGCCGTGCCTGGTGGAGGTTAGAGGGATGTGGGAAGTCTCTGCCACTCAACTTGTCACTCAATTTTCCCCTGAACCTAAAACTACTCCAAAAAGTGAATTCTACTTGAGAAACCAGACAAAGGTGCACAGAGCAGGCCTGTGTTGCTTTGAGAAGCCAGAAGGCACTGGGAGAATCTCAGGGCCATGAGTCAAATGAGGAGAACTTACTAAGACGTGATAGCTGAAGTGCATCGGGTGCAGTGCCCACCTGGTCCAGGAATCCCCTAAGCCCTGAGTATCCATCTCAGTGTGCATGCTTCCAGGGATGGAGAGCTCACTACCGGGTGAGGCAGCTCCCTCCATCTCGGGAGAGTGGTGCCTTTAAAGAGCTCTTCTTTAGACTGAAGCTAAACTCCTTTCCCAATGAACCATGATCCACTTCCTATTTCTTTGGGTGGGACCGATAATCCTAGTCTTTATTGGTCCTCTCTCAGCTAGATGTCCATCATTCTTTCATCAAAACACGCTTTTCAGAACAAACCCAAGCAGTCAGCTGTTTCTCGGGCTCTGTCATCCAAGGGGGACCTGGAGCTTTCTGCAGCCCAGTGAAGCTTGAGTCCCTGCCCCGAGACTATCCCAGCACAAAGCAGGCTGAAATGAACAAGGGCCCTGAGTTCAAAATCTGACTGCTGTTGGCCAGAGAAGCTCTCTGAGCCTCAGCTTTCTCAGCTGCCTGGGGCGGGGGCACCCCTTCCTATTCCTGGGACCGTGGGGAGGGTTAACCCAGATGGTGCAGGTGCAGAGCAGGCAGCCGCCAGGCTTACTCCACGCACGTGCCTAGCAGATGGACGGCCTCTGGGGCCAGGAAAAGGAGCCCCCAAAGAGGTGTTGTCTTTGCCCTGCAGTGGGGTGAGGGTGGCTTGGGAGTCCCCCACCCGAGCGCGTGTTCCTAGGTAATGCATCCATGGGTGGTGCCGGCCGAGGCCCTGCACACCCCCTTGTCGGCTCAAACTTTCCACCCCCACCTGCAGCACCTTGGGCCGCTCAGGGCTCTGCGGCCAGTGGAATGCTGTGAGGTGAGGCACAGAGGACTGGCTCCCAGAACCCCACCCAAACCCAGGAGCTAGCTGAGCGGCCTCGGGCAAGTCAGCTTGCTTCTCTGGGTCGGCATCTGAGGGTCAGGGGAGCCTGGGCGGGACAGCTGGCAGGGCATCACAGACTGTGGCGTGCTGAGCCCTGAGCCTTCTGTGTTTGTTATTGTGCTAATGCGTAGCCATGACGCCACGTCCCCTCCTCTTTCCTGCGGGGTCCCTGAGCAGCCACGCTCCTGGCAGTGTGGCCTGATGGGGAAAGACCAGTCATTTTCTAACTCTGTTGTGACCTGGAGTCACCTGCATTTTGGTCCCCCACGCAGAGGCCTGGGCCCTTCCCAGGGACTTGGACCTGGAGGTCTGGATACCCAGAGACTCACTAACCTCTCCAGGGATTTCAAAGCAGATTGAGCTGCCGTCCACGTTGTGAAGCAAAGAGCTTTCTGGGGGGAGCAAACCTGAGAGGAACCTGGGCCCTGTCTCTGCCCTGGACCCCAAAGCCACCCTCTCTGGACTCCCCCAAAGAGGACCCCCTTTCTAAGACCCCATAGCCAAGTGATTCGGGGTCCCCAAGTCCATGCCCGCTCCCTCCCACCTCTCAGGCTGACAGACACCCTTGCCCTGAGAACAGGGAGCCTCAGGAGCTCCCAGACCAGCTCCTTGGAGCCTGGGCGGTGTCTCATTGTGTCCTGTTCCTCCCCCAGCCAAAGTCCCCCGAGGGGAAAGGCCGAGCCCAGAGTGTGGCACCCCTGTGTGCCTAGAGTGTGTCCACAGACAGGGGACCCTGGGGCCTTTCTGGAGCCTCAGAGATTGTACCTTCCAGCCACTTAGGAAATCAGTCCCACCAAGTAAGTCCAGAAAAAGAAAGGTGTGCTGTAGGACAAGTTAGTGGGATCGGCGAGGCCAGCTCTAAGGGATGGCTAACAAATTGGCTGTAACGAGATTAGGAAGGTTTACAACTGTTTAGAAGGGATAGGTAAAACAGAAAAGACGTAAATATTAAGTAATAATTTGGAACTAAAGTTTTCCATTATTGTAACCGAATCTGAAAGTGGGAAGGAGGAGGGAGGAAAAGTGTGCTAAAGGTTTTAGCTTACCCGGAAGAATGATTATCCTTCTGTTCTTGATGCCAATGGGTAGATACACATTTCAACAGGTTTATTAAAAATTGAAAGATAAGCTCCAGGAGAGTAGAAGAATATATGTGTATGTGAAACACATTACATTTATTATAAGTCGTATTACTCTGTACTCTACAAGGATTACACCTCCACGGGATATTTAGAGATGCTGTGTTGTAGGCCCTAAAACAACACCAGTAAATCCAAGATGCAGAATTGTTACAGGTTGCATCACGTGGTCACAGAAAACATCGAACATCAAAACTGAACATCACAAACCATCTGACGATTTTCCACAACACTCTTCTTCCCGACTCTTCCATCACAGATCACTAAGACTGTGACCGGCAATGCGAATGCTACTAATCAAGTTGCCGGGTGCAGCCAAAGCCATGCACAGAGGACAACTCATACCACTCATCTATCATAACTAGCACTCACAGTACAGGTGGCCAGTGAATCAACGAAGTGTTCAGTTTAATAAGCCAAATAATGCACAAAAGCAGTACACAAAAGAACAAAAACCAAGATAACAAAACAAAGTGATACATTAGGAAAAAACATTAAAATCA